AAAAAAAACATTTATTTGAAGTATATTAAAAAGAAGGAAAAACTGTAATTTTACTGGATGAAACAGCTATTAAATTCTCTCATTATTGGAAAACAAAAGAAAAATACACTTTTCTGCTAATTATCACAACATATTTTCAAAACTTGAACAATTCAACTTTTTGTATCAGAAAATTAGGCCCATTATGAAGAATGAAGCCCCCGAGAACGAGAGAGGCGCCTCCACCACGTGTCGCAACTCAGTACTCGCTTGGCTATTAACGAGAGGATTTTTATTTGCTGTTTCACCCATTCATTCATTCATCCAAAAATAATGAAAGAACTCATTTGAAACTTAATTGAATATTTATTGTAAAAGAAAACGGGAAAATACTTTAAATAAACTCACACTCAAATGCTAATAAGAAAAATACATTAAAACACCAAAAACTTACATTATACTGCCACCCAGCAGGATCGAAGAGAAGGAGATGTGCTGCTTTGCTGATGATCAATCGATACTCAAATGAATACTGTCTGTTAATGATCTTGACCTCCCTCAATATTTATAAAGAATTATATACGCTGACATTGCGACTTTGATCCGGTCACTGTACTGGGGTGAAATGCTCAGTATGCAATCTGTGCAAAGTTTGCGTATTTGGAGATTGTTTTATATTCTATATCCTGTGATCGGATCAATTTCGATGTCTATGAACTTGAAATATTAAAAGATGAAATTCTGAATACTGAGTGTTCTTGTGTTAAAATATTGAAGTGAGGTTGGAATATCTTTCAATTCATGTATTAAATGAATCTGAATTATTTCATGATTATTTTCTATATTTGACAATATTAACAATACTTTTAATAATCAAATTATTTTGTAATTCATCGCTGATATATCAACTCATATATTCCTCATCGTTTCATTCAATTGAATACCGAAACCGATATAAAATAAACTCAGCCGTTGATGACATATTTATTGTAATGAGATCCTATTGAAAAATATAATCTTAGTATTCTTATCGATATCGAAATACGTATTGGTGATAACGCAGATATTTTTTTGCCAACTTATCCATTTCCTCGGAGTACATGAATCTAAACATTTATTTTACTATGGAACAGTGATGTTTATTGAGAGTTGTGTCCATTCCTTGTCCATTTCTTGTCTTATCCATTTCCTTAAAATTTCTATTACAATTTTTCTTGGTTTCCATGGGAACAAAACTGAGTGGCTCCCAAGAAACCACCCAACAAATCAAAGCTAGCTACTCCCAGTTCTCCCAAATGGACAGCTGGCTGTCGGTCTTTTATGCGCATACAATTTTGATTTAAAAAAATGATTCTAATGTAAATTGAATCAATAGTGTGTGGCAATAGTTTTAGACTTTAGGTAAAAATAGAACTTGAGGGTGTTTGGCCTTATTACATGATTCACACATTTACCTTCTACTGAGTAAAATCATCTCTTAGCGTTTTACTGCTGAACTGAATATATGTATAAATAGGCAGATAATTATAAAATGCAAAAACGTCACTTTTAAAACATCAAAATATGATTGATGACATATTCTGAAATGAAACAAAAGAAAATCAAAGAGTCTTTGTTAGATGCATATTCAGCATTGACATTGATCCATGTCACCTTGGATTTGAATAGCGTAACAAACACATAAATTCTGCTTTTCCCTTTTATTTGAAGTGCTACATGTGATGATGCGACTATTATTAGTGAAGATACAACTTTATGCCCTCTTGGCATCGTCTCCGTTTTTTTTCTCTGTCGATGCATTCTGCATTCGTTTCCCTTTCATTTGATGTGCTGCACGTTGAGATCCAACTATAATTTACAAAGATATGGTTCAGTGTCCTTCTGACATATTGCGCCATCTTTGTTTTTTCTCTGTCGATGAATTGTGCATTTCTTCTCCTTTCATTTGACGTGCTGTACGTGACTATTCGACAATTATTAACAAAAATGTGGCTTTGTGCTCTTCTGACATTTTGCTCCAGATTTTTTGTTCTCTGTCGATGAATTCTGCATTTGTTTCTATTTCATTTGATGTGCTGCACGTTGAGATTCAACAATCATTAATGGAGATGTGGGTTAGTGCCCTTCTGACATGTTGCGCCATCTTTGTTTTTTCTCTGTCGATGAATTCTGCATTCGTTTCCCTTTCATTTGATGTGCTGCACGTTGAGATTCAGCTATCATTAATGGAGATGTGGGTTAGTGCCCTTCTGACATGTTGCGCCATCTTTGTTTTTTCTCTGTCGATGAATTCTGCATTCGTTTCCCTTTCATTTGATGTGCTGCACGTTGAGATTCAACTATCATTAATGAAGATGTGGGTTAGTGCCCTTCTGACATGTTGCACTATATTTGTTTTTTAGTTGTCGATGAATTCTGCAATTCTTCTTCTTTCATTTGACATGATGTACGTGACGATCCGAAGTTTTTTCAATGATTCTCTTTGCAATTCTTCCTATGCTGTTTCACATTAGGCGCTCGATATTATATTTTTCATAGTCTACACATTAAATCATTTGAAATGAGTACCCACATCGACCTGTTGCAACTAGTATAGCGAAAATAGGTTATGAGGTCCTTTTGGCTTCGTAAAATGATTAATTATGTTTTTTGACATCTAAACGAATCCATTGATGTCAAAATCATCGGAATCGGACGACCGGAAGTGAAAACCGGAAGTGGTCGTTTTTTGATGGATTCGAAACCTTCTCATCCTAAGGAATCCAAATATATCATATGTTTCAGTATCCAATGATTTTTTTCATTTTCTTTGTCAATAAACTCTGCGTTTTGCATCAAGCTTCTGCAACTGGAATAAACTTATAGTTGTTCACAACCCAACATTTTTTAATTCCAAGTTTGTTCAATGAGTTTTGTTGAATTTACAATTCTTTCTATGTTATTTCACATTAGGCGTTGGATATTATATTCGTTACGCCATATTTGTTTTTTCTCTGTCGGTACACTCTGTATTCGTTTCTCTTTCATTTGATGTGCTGCACGTTAAGATCCAACTATCATGAACTAAATTGTGTCTTAGTGCCTTTATGACATGTTGCGCCATCTTCGTTTTTTCTTTGTCGATGAATTCTGCATTTCTTATCCTTTCATTTGACGTGCTGTACGTGACGATCCGAAGTTTTTCCAATGATTCTCTTTGCAATTCTTCCTATGCTGTTTCACATTAGGCGCTCCATATTATATTTTTTATGGTCTGCAAACTAAATCATTTGAAATGAGTACCCACATCGACCTGTTGCAAGTAGTATAGCGAAAATAGGTTATGAGGTTCTTTTGGCTTCGTAAAATGATCAACTATGTTGACATCTAAACGAATCCATTGATATCAAAATAATCGGAATCGGAGGACCGGAAGTGAAAACCGGAAGTGGTCGTTTTTTGATGGATTCGAAACCTTCTCATCCTAAGGAATCCAAATATATCATGTTTCATTTGACGTGCTGTACGCGACGATCCGATCATTATTAGCGAATATACAACTTAGAGCCCTTCGGACAGTTGTGCTATTATTTCTTGTAATAACTGATTAATTTCCACAAATTATCACACACCCCACCACCTCCCACGCTGACTACGTCACTTACAAAGTTTTGATGTTTTATCACTATTATTATTATTCGACCCTCATTCCCCAGTTCAATTTCATCTAGCACAATCAATCGAGCGATATTTGATTCCTCCAGTCTGATTGGCTGACCGACACCATTCTGTAACAGAAGTTAGGTTGAGTGTTCCACAAGGTTCCGTTCAAGAGTCTGAAAATTCGCAAAATGAATCTTCATACGACAAAGCATGGACTTTAGTCATCTCCTGATGATGCTTACTTGGTTAGCGGAACGCGTTAAATGATAAATGGCTGTCATATTGAAACACGAAAAACGGTTACGACAATAACGATGAAACGATAACGAATAAACGCACGGGAAACGGTCGAAAACGCACGAAAAACGGTTGAAAACGCACGAAAACGATCGAAAATAGTCGAAAACGCACGCAAAACCGTGGCATGCAAAACGGTCGAAACGTTTGTAAAACGGTCGAATACTTCGCTTTCCTCATTTTCGAATGTTAACTCCACAATACGTAATCCTTCGACACTTTTGGGTCTTCTCTTTTTCCTGATGATGCTAACTTGTTTAACAAAGATACGAGACTTAGTGCCCTTTTGGCGTGTTGGAATGCTAGACTTCTGTTAAACTGACATGTTTTTTTCTTAAATGATGTATTTTGAAACGCCCTGCATATATTACTATCATATTTCAAACCGACATGTTTTTTTCCTTAAATTATATATTTTGACGCACCCTGTACACTTGGACGCCATGTTTGTTTTCAATGATGTATTTTGAGATACCTTGTAACATTGAGAGATCGCACTTTGAAACGATACAGCCTCATTAATCTATAATATTTTTTCCTATCACTTTCGCGCTTCCAATTTTCGAGTTGTTCACGCCTAATTTTAAAACCGACAACACTACATTGCCCCATAAACAATGATTTATTGTACAACCG